TGTTATGATGCCTGATTTTTACTAAGAGACATGTTATAATTTTGTATATTAAAGTGAGTTCTGTTCGGTCCTTCTTGGTGTGAGGTTGTTTTATCTACTGTCCTGAGTTACTTGAGTTTTGTTGGAGAGTTTAGATTGTTTTTGATGCAGCATGGTCGATGATTGATTTTGGTTAGCTATAATTTCCCTCGGTTTTAACACGTTACAACACGAAGAAAGAGCTTATAGTGTCAGAAATCATTTGGCACATACGACATGTAACAAAATTCAATTCATTTAAAATTGCAAACAGTTGAAAACAATTAAAGAACAAATCTTGTATTTTCAGAAAGTTTTAGGAGACAGTAAGTGAAATTTAAATTGATATTTCGCTTTTTGACAAATCAAGACCGTGATTTTTTTTGCATTAGTAATTGATTCTGAACACAATCACATCCTTTGAACATCACTCGACATGCTACTACAAATCCTTTCGCTATAATACCACGCGTCGTACATAAATCACAAAAGGTGAACATATTGTTTCGATGGGCATTGTTGTATTCTTAATCTTTGGCATGAATTTCATGGTTTTAATTTTTGTTAACGCCTTTTCAATGAGCCATGCCTATAATCTAAAGGGGTGATATAAAACTTATTTCTCAATTAGACAGTCCAATTTAACAATATGTGTGCAGAATTACTTTAGAGGTAATACAAAGTTTTGGGAAATTAAGAAAATTGGGTGGATAGTGATTCTTTACAATTTTGATATAATAATGTGGATGCTCCTGTGGATGTATCATATGCACTAGAAAATTCAGCCCCTAAAACACTTCTGCTTTCGAGAACAATTGCATATAAAAATTTACCAGTGCTCCCGGTAAATTTTGATAACTTTCAAATAGCGCCTACGGCCGTACAATGGTAGCTGTGACCATGAAAATCTCATAATATGTAGTTATGATGTATAATTTCCAAACGGGAATAGCTAATCGGTCGATTTTAGTCAAGAAACATTGTTTTATAGCTTGATAAATATATTGACCTTGAGAAGGAGCTTTACAACATAAAGAGTTTATTATTCACAATGTCATAACGTTAGACTCGATTTCAACCGCGACAACGATCACTGAATATTTTAGGATCGCATATGCTTCCAATATGTTCATTTGAACCAAATTCATGACCCCATACCACCATACCAAAACTTTGTATTACCTTTAAGCGTTCGAATAATTATTGAGAAAAACAAATAGCAAATTAGTTCAATGATGAAAAAGTAGTGACAGAATATAAAAACAGTGTATTCGAGAAGTAGGTGAAAATGGAGAATGACCTAGGTAATGTGTGTATGTGTGTATGTGTATAAACATAGGATAATGTAAATTACTGAAATACATTTAAATAGAAATCAAACATCTAAAGTCCATCGTGTCAGCATATGGTTTACTTTATGAGTATTTCGGTATGTAGATGTCCATGTCATGATTAACAAATACGGTATATGATATACATGTACATCCAAATAATAAGACATCACTACCATGTCATTAGTTCCTTCATTAACATCAGCCACCACTGTTTATTAACATCAAGATAAAATCCAGGTAAAATCTTCAAATAAAAATATAACACTTGTATGGTAAAATGAAACAACTGAAGTAACATGAAATACTATTACTGTTTGCAATGTGCACTTCATAAACAAATATTTCATAAATAAGCCACACTTTTTCCAACTCCATTCAGCGTCTTGAAGTAAACATGTTGACAATAATGTACGAAGTCAAAGATAACATAGCATTTCACCAATTAGAAATGCCTACAGGAGAATATCTACAATGGCTTAATTACACATCAATGTGGTCAGAAAAATCCAACCCTGAAATAAAAAAAACACATTTGATTCCTTAGATGAACAAAGATGTTTCCACATAATATATAATAATAATATTCAGCTTTTATATAGCGCTTAATACATCTTGGACGTCTCTAAGCGCTTTACAGATATACTTTTACCCGGTCATTGGATTCAGTGCTTGCCCGCACACACTGTGTGCACAATCTTCACTCCCTGGAGAGCATTCCAGCCAGGCGTTACTCGACGCTCAAAACTGTTTGACCAACAGTGACGGTCGCATCCTACCGGGTACCCATTTTAACACCTGGGTGGAGAGTAGCAAATGTAGGTTAATATCTTGCCAAAGGATATTAGTGCCGTGTCAGGATTTGAACCCTCGACCTTCACATCTGCAGTCAAGCACCTTAAACCACTTGATCAAGACACTTATACATAGAAAAGGAAGGTTGTTTTCCAAAGTTTCTGCTTCAGTTACAGAATATGTGTTTTGAATCACATTTCCATTCATATGACACGACTGTTGTCAACTGTATTGACTTTTTTAAACAAAATTTTTCATTTTTCATTCCTCATTCAGCATTATGGGATATAAAATTTATACTTACACATGTACTTTGACACAATAAATACTTTGATTCAATGATTTTGTTAAAGCTTGATCAAAAATCAATCCTAGATTGTGTGCGTGCAAGTTGTTTTGGGGGTTTAAATTTGATAAACATACATTTTCTTTAAATTAGATTTTATTTAATTTTGCTAAATCGATTCATATACATGTACATACAAATTTAAAACTTAAATTTGAAATATTTACAATGTAAATGTCTTCTGTTTAAAAGATACCTAAGAAGCACTTCAGGCCTTGAAAAGCCTTAAAAAGCCTTAAAACACAAGTTACACAAATATTTCTGTAATCCATTCTTCATCTTTGTTGAATGAATGTGAGAGAGCAGTACATTTGATTTCTCACAAAGTAGTTGTAATTATTACCAGAATACATATCAGAATATATATATATGCACAAATTAGCAAAAACACCTTAACAATGAGTGCAAGCTATAAATATTATGTTAAGAATGTTAAGAAAATGTTTATAATTTAAGCAGCGAGATTATCACATCGCATGAAGTAGAAATTGACCCTGGGATTTTTTTTCTTGAGTTTACTAATATGATGCATCAATATACCCATGTCATGCCACAATATGTGATACCTTATTGACTGACAATGGGTTAATCTGAAACCATGATTAAAAAGGGGATATATATATAATAAATAAAATGCTCACACCCTATGAGATAGCAGCCATTCAACCATGCATACAAATATTAATCACATTGTCAGTTTACATGAATACTGTACATATAGCATTATTGCTATACCAAAATCTCAATTATTAAACATCAATACTTTAATATTATTCACAAAGGCACTTCCATGCACAAATTTCAACTTTTAAAAATATACTTGAATAATCAAAATCCAATTCTCTTATCAAAAACATGTACAAAACAGGGAATTAATATTGTATTATTAGATTCATTACCATTGTTGCACCATATTTTTAAATAGTGATAAGGTTTAGACTCAAGCATTATGGCTACTACGGTACATTGTGAATACATTGAAAACTTAAACACATCACATGACATCCAGCGCACATAACATTCCTACAAAAGGGGTCTGTTTCACCACACATGTAAATATGTCATCATCATCAACAAAACGTGTCAATGGTAACGATTGAATGTTGCAATTTCAACACAAACTTTCAAATCTTACAGTTGGGCTCCAATCCAAAATACTGAAGAGTATTGTCATCAAATTTGTACAATTCTGGTTTCATTATTTAGTCAAATAGATCAAATTTAAAATGACAAAGACCATGGACTACATGTGGTACATTAATGTCAATCAATATCAGACAGTGACTGTATCATAACAGCAATTAAAGCATAATGGTCATGATATTCAGAACACTTTTTGGTTATTTAAGACGATTTTATACTATATTTCACAGTATTCCACTGAATAGTTGAAATAAAGGAAATATCAACTTTTTGTAACAGTAAAGGACATGACACAAAATGGACAAAAATTCTGTTTACTCATTGTAAACAGTTTGAAAAGTCTGTGATGGGGGGGGGGGGTGTTCCAATGAATCTAGTTTAGGTATTAACAGAAGCTTGTAGTCATGCACAGATACACATTGCAAAACAATTGGATCATATATTTCCTTGTTACAATTAAAAATGTAGCGTAACAGACGTTTCATTTTTGTTCACTTTTTAAAAACCCTGTAAGGAAATACTACCTTTGTGTACACAGCTGAAATGTTTAAAATCAAACATTAAAATATGCTGCAATTCAGGCATAATAATATAGAGTAAGTTAAATAATGATGAATATATCAACACAAATACCAATACTGGTCATCATTTGCAGCATCAGTATGTTAGTCTCGTATTCAGAGGGGAAGGTACTGGTACATGTATTTATCAACAAAAATGTAAGAAAGTAGATTAAAATCGTTACAACTGTCCCAAATATGCCACATTAAAGAAATAGCAGAATTTGCCAGAACTACTATGATACAGTTTTACTAGACACCAAAAGAAATGAATGTAGAACGCCATAAGTTACGAGAAATAGAACTGTATATATATATATATATATATTACTTGTAATGGTAGAATAGTCAAAAGCCAGAATAGCGAGTCTTGTACATATATTTTTGTTTAAACGTCTATCTACTTTGTGCAGACTTAGAATGTATGTATAATACCGGTACATGCAATTTTTTTTTTTTGTGTATTCTCTGATACCCTGGAAGACCAATACATATACTTCTGTAACTTTGACTGTTTTGTACGTCTAGGTGGTGAGGTACATGGAAGTTCAGGGTTCCTCTACATCCATTCACACACTGAATTGAAAGAGACATTAAACAATATGCTTACCAACAAAAACATGAATTCCATATACCTCGGCTTACATATACAATATTGCCATGTATGACTCACTGAGAGGAAGGATGGATTATCACCATGGGTGTCGATCTGTAACTGATACCTATTCATCAGGGGGGGATGATCTATTCATTCATTCCCCCCTGATGAATAGGTATTACGTAAGGATCGACACCCATGATTATCACACGTATACAAGCACATATCGAACATGAACAACCTGTCTCAAATAACTATCAAAGCTGGGATTAAACCACTTGAAAATGAACATTAATTGAAAATGAAACCATCCTAATCTTTACAGGCCAAGATCATGAAGATCACTTTGAACCCCCACCTCTACCCCCTTGAAATACTGTCCAGTTTATATTGAATTCAGCTATCTATGATCTCCTTTTAAAAGTAAGACTACGTTGATCGATTAGGTCCCCCATTGAGCTTGAAACTACCGCCAGGTATCGTCTCCTTTAATTTATCTGTGAGTTCTTTAATAAGTGAAGCAGTCTTCTGATGACCGTGTTGGGCAGCTAACTCAGCTGCAGTGAAGCCTTCTCCGTTGGGTTTGTTGGCTGGGATCACATGAGATTCTAGTAAGTACTGTATTGCTTCAAGTTGGTTGTTGATTGCAGCCTGATAGGGGAAGAATAGAACAAAAAAATAGCACTGATTCAGTCTCTAGTAAGTACCACAGTCTGCACAAAATGGTGATAGACTGAACACATTCTACATGTCCAACTACTGATCACTATCAGCATATCTAATTCTTAAACAGTATTCTGTCTTTATGAGAAAGTAAAACCATTATTCTATCATCAGATCCATGATTAAAAGCAATGTGTGCACCATCTCCCGTACATGGAGAAATTATTTTCACAATGGCTACTGGTCACTAAAGTCCACCGTACACTATACAATCTGACTACAATTCAAATTGAAATTTTTAAAATCTTAATGATTCAAGGATCTGAATAGTCATATGCTCAATAAAATCTGAATTTCAAGGGGTTTTAAGCTTCTTTGAGAAGGAAAAGCTAAATCGGCTCAGAATCGTAGTGACGTCAGACCATTTGTGTGATTGTCTACGATTTGAAGCTGATTCAGCTTTAATTCTGACGAGAAGGCTTAAATGCACTACAATTCTGGTTAGTATTTCTATCATCACTCAGAAATTAAATCAGGAAAATGTTTGTTTAGATTTTCATATCAAATGTAATTGCCTTTTCATTGAGAATCAGATCGCAGGAGGATCGTGTGGTGTTGGGCATAAGTGAATTTTAGCATCCAATCATGAACCCTTTCTTCTCATGGATGTGATTGGAAAATACAGATTAACATTTCCCACATAGAACATACGTGCTATGGATTGGACTCCAATTATCGGCTTTTGACCTACAGTCCAGTAACCTGTCAATTACACCACTACTATATTATTGAATTGTACTACATACCACATGAAGTGCTGTATTGCCACTATAGTCTGTGCACATCATATCCACTCCTGCCATATGGTATGCTTGTAATCCTGTTACATCATTTGTTGCTGCAGCGCTGTAAACAACAACAAAAAGCATGCAAGTAATGGATTGTGTTCACATCAATTATAACAATATTATGTGCTTCATACTGCAAGTAATTAGCCATTCCATTCTCACTAGCATTTTCACATAAATAACCTGCATAATCAGTCCTGGAACCACATCTCTATTAGGAGTGACATTAACATACTAGAATGGTACTTGCCTAACCCATTGACTACTGAATTCTCTTTTGCCATAGGCTTAATACTTGGGCAACCTGGTTCCAGTAAGCAGTGGGTTTAATTGCCAGGGCTTTTCTGAGATGATGTACTACATGATATTGTGTTCATCCATCTTACCTGCATAGAAGGACAGCCAGTTCAAAGGGACTCTCATTGATCAGATGACCACCACACTGTTTGATTATCTCTATGGTGTCAAGTTTTCTACAGAAAGAAAGAAAGTAACAGAGTTCAAGAAAATACTTCAAAGTGCTATCCCTCGACACTTCAGCCATTTGAAATTATTTTCATTTTTACATACAGAAGAAATTTACAACTCATGCAACAGAATAGCTTCTGGAAGTGCACTTGTTATATAATATTTTCTTTTTCGGTATTCTTAGCTCAATCATCATAACTTGCCATGGACGAGTTTAGGAAGATTTACAAACACAAAGCATCATTAAACAGTAATTGCATGATTCAGCTAGTGAGCATCTAAAACAAGAGTGAGCTTGTATATCAATATCTTGCAATATAAGACACAAAGAAAATAAATCTATCAAACAGAATTCATGCTTCAGATTGACAATTTCCAAATATTTTGGTTGCCTTTTTATACGAACCACATATCAGGGACCCACATTTTCATTAGCCATTTTGGCTTTTTCATGGTCTCCTATAAATATGTTTCATACATGTTTGTTGTTCCAAAATGATAATAAACAAAATTTGCCGTCGAGCGATTTATGTACAATATCGCTAGGTCAAAGGCTGCCAACGGGTCGCCACCCAGTCGCCGCTGGGAGATGAGTCAGTCACTGGGCGGAAAGTTCAAAATCGGTCGGCGTCCGGGCAGTGCCAGCTCGGCAGCCTTTGACCTAGCAGCTTCGATTTTTTACCTAAATCGCTCGACGGCAAATTTGGCCTACGAGACACCCACAGATGCCCTGCCAAACAATGGCCAGCCGCTGGGCTTTAGAATCAGCCGGTGGCCGGTGGGAGAAATCGGTGGGTTATCAGTCGGTCACTGCCGGGACGCCGCGCAGAGACGCTCCATGATTTTGCCCAGTTTTGACCTAAAATCGACCGGCGACCGACTGGAAATTGACAGGGCACCGCCCAGGCATTGCTTCGGCTCTACAGCCTGCTCGACTTCTCCTAAAATCGTCGGGCGATTCCTAAATTCCAGCGGCGACTGAGCAGGTACAAATCGGTCAGTCACCGCTTTGAGTTGTGACCATAGCTTTACTTACTCCTACTTTTGATACATGCTTGTCTACCAGAACCATAGCAAACTAGATCCTGGATAGTGAAAACCATTGTTAAGTGGTCAACTGTATTCCTTTGAAGAGCCAAAGGGAAGAATGCCCAAAAATTTTTGCTACAATGCCTAAAGGCCCATCGAAGAAACACTCACCTATTTCTAATGCTGTCCATGAAAGGTGTATTACCAAACCTATCTCTGGCGTAGATAGAACAGCCATTCTCTAGGAGGAACCGAACGACCTCTGTATGACCTTCACTGGCTGCAAGATGAAGAGCTGTGCGACCATCATAGTCATGTCCTGTTAAGTTAGCACCCTAGGGGGATTATAGGAGACACCCAAAGATAACATCAACTTGTCTCCCTTCCTTCTAGTGTTCTCATGACACAATCATAAACCCGATCGGCTCATCTAGGGAATGGTATACAGGGGGGGGGGGGGGGCAGGATCCATTCCACAAGGGGAGGAAGAATGTACCAGGGCAGCTTCATGCAACATGCCTGGACTCACAGTATTTAGCATTGCTCATACCAATGACACCAATGACAACATGGCCACTATATGTAAATGACTGAAAAATATTTCCATAATAGTCATTTCCATGTTTACATCTTCAACATGGTCACAACATCCTACATCAACCCTCCCTTCAGTGGTCAAATGCTCAATTCTAATGATCTGCTACCTTCAATGACATGGTTTGAAATTAGTCCCCAAGTCGTTTCAGTTTAGTAAACCAGACTCTGATTGCTACCATCAGAGCCTGGATGTATTTTTCTCATCTGGTGCACTGATCTCTACATGTGAGACAACAGTATACCTAAAACTTGCCTTATACAGGTTAGAGAGATGGCTAGAATTAAAATTTTACACCAAATGAAATTTCATG